TATATTTAATAATTTAAGTCAGAATCAAATGTAGAAGTTATGTTTGAACGAAAATAATAAATATATTTCAAGTAGGAATAATGGATAAATGATATAAAATCCTCGAAATTTACCTTGGGTTATATTATAGGTTGTACAAGTTAAATTAGTTACCAATACCAAGTAGATTAAATTCATTTAATATAAATTAAAATTTTATATCAATTTAGTTAAATTCTAAAAATGTAATATCATAGTGCATTAAGTCATATTTTAATTAATAAAATATAGTTCTTTATAGTTAGGAGGAGGGGGCTATGAACTTTCTTGATACTTAGTGCACATGAAAAAAGAATCCACCAAATTAGTATTTTAAATAAGGAACAGGGAAAAGCTCTTGGACTAGGGTTAGATATTTTAATTTTAACTTAAAATTAATGTCTTGTTTGTAAACCTCAAAATTATAAATATTTTATTTTTATGCCATAATTAAAATGCATAGAAAGTAACTTCATTTTTTAAAATAAAAATAGATTTTATCTTATATACTATATGTTAACGGCAATTTGTTTTTTCCGGCATTGTGTTATTTTTAAAATTTAAATAATTTTTTGAGCCCTTTTTTTTAAATTTAAACTGGAAATGTATTCCATCATGTTTGAAATATCTACCCTATGAATTTCAGATAATTTTGTCATGAACTTTTGATGTAATATAATTTATATTAGTTTTTCCATAGATTTATTTTATAAATTATAAATGACTCAAAAGTCAACTGCAAAATTATCTACAATTCATAAGATAGGTATTCGATACATGCTGGAATACAATTCCGGTAAAATAAGATTTTTAACTTTAAAAAAACGCGATCAAAAAAGGATTTAAAGTTGAAAAAATAGTACATTGTGAAACACATTGTGGCTAACATATATAAAATTAAAATAATTATTTTTAGGAGTTTTTGTTTTGTTTGTGCAGTTTGTTATTTACATTTAGGTCCATACCCATATAGTGTCAATTAGAGCTCTGCAAAACTTATGTTTAAAAAAAATCGGGTTTAGCTGGGTCGGGCCTAATATTTAAAAAAAAAATTTGGGTCGGGTCGGGCCTTGAAAATTTTTTCAAATATCTAAATTTATCCATTTTGTGTTGAACTTTTTATGTAAAATAAAAATATTTGATTTTATTTATAGAAACTAGACGCCATATGAGATATACTAGTGATGTTAAGGTAACTAGTTACAAGTAGCTAGTTACCTGTAACTAGTTACATTTTGGCTAAAAAATAACTGTAACCAGTTATATTTTTAAAATTGTAACTAGTAACTGTAACTAGTTAAAAATTTTGAAATGTAACTGCCAAAAGTAACTAGTTACTTTTAAAGATATATTCAAATAATTAATTTTATTTTTAATATGTTGTGATAAATTAATTTTAAATTAAATTTATTTTTTAAATTAAATTTATTAATTTAAAATTTTGTGAAAATGTCTGATTATTCCCAACAATAATACAAATATATGTATGGCAGATGTGCAGGGATTAAAATATTGTCAATCTCTAAAGGATACTATATTAGCTAGTATTGAAAAAAGGTAACTAAAATCAAATAATTATTTATAAATTAATAATATCATGTTATAGGTTTAATAATCTTTATGATAATGACAACATCATTGCTGCAATTCTTCATCCTTTATTTAAAACTGACTGGCCTTGGATTAAGCAAGAAAGTAATAAAGCAAAAAAGGAGGAAATTTTAAATTTAATAAATACCTAAATCCTAAAAGTGAATCCCAGACGAATGAATCATGCTCAAAACCAACATCACTTGATGTAGTTGAATTTTTTGACCTAAAGCGCCAAAATATTCTGGATAATGAACTTATAGAAAACTTTATCAAATCTAATAACAACACTTTATCTTTATATAACGATTTTCCAAAGTTAAAATTACTCTTTATTAAATATAATGTTGTTCTAACATCAAGTGCTCCCGTAGAGCGCTTATTCAGTCTAGGTAAGCTCATCTTTGGAGATAAACGAGCACGTCTCCTAGATAATAACTTTGAAATTAATTTGTTGTTAAAAGCAAATAAACATTTATTAGATTCTAATTTTTATGAAAAATAAATGTTTTTTTTTTCAATGTAAATATATATTTTTATATTCGATGTAAATATTCAATTTTGCGATATTTTTTTATATAAATAAATTGTATATTATTTTAAATAAGTGATTATACTTTGTTTATCCTAATTTTTTTTATATTAAATAAATGCATTTAATAAATAAATAATGCGCATCTGAAGGATGTATAAAGTAAGTAACTAGTTACTTTTGAAAATAACGGTAACTAATAACTAGTTACTTTTGTAAAAATGTAACTAGTAACTGTAACTAGTTATGTTTTTGCCAATATAACTAGTAACTGTAACTAGTTATGTTTCAAAAGTAACTTTTAACATCACTAAGATATACCTATAATTTTGAGTAATTATAATAAAGAAAATTAATTTCTATATTTAAACAAATTCGGGCCGGGCTGGCAAAACTTTTTTTAAAAAATTAATTGTTCAAAAATTAGACCCGATAACTCGTGATAATTTCACTAAAATTAAATTTATATTTAAATTTTTTTTAAATACGTAATATTTAAAAATATATTTTATATAAATTCAAATTTAGATTTTATAAAATTTTTTTAAGAGAAATCCTTTTTCTAAAGTTTCCCATATTTTAAAGATCTCAAGGCTCCGTGGGGCTTTTTCCCGCTAGGCTTACTGGCCAGTCCACCCCTGGCAATCAAAAAATGGGAGGTATAATTTCAAATACCGTACAATTTAATATCACGGAATAAAAATAATTATCATAATAACTTCAATTAGTGATCTGCATCGGGCTACTTTTTCAAGCCCGGCCCGATATTTTTTTAAATAAGTTTTGCCGGCCCAGCCCGAATTCGATTTTTTTATAATATATACCGGCCCGGCCCGAATTTATTTAAATATAAAAATTAATTTTTATAATTACTCAAAATAAAAGACATGTTATATGGCGTATAATTTCTATAAATAAAATCAAATATTTTCATTTTACATAAAAAATTCAATATAAAATTGATAAATTTAGATATATTTAAAAAAATTTCCAAAGCTCGACCCGTCTCGAACCCGGGCCTACTTTTGCAGATCTCTAATTTTAATATTGATATACAAACAAATAATCTTACTATTTTATAATGATAAATATTGGATCTCCAGAGACCCTATTAAGGAATTTGTTAAAATTATCTTATAGACTAATAGTAATTATAGATTTATCAATTATAACATGTTAGTGCATTTTTTATGTTATTATCTATACATTAGAATTACCTGTTAAATAGTTATCATAGATTTAATTATATAAATTTTTATGTTAAAAATTATTATTTTTTTGATAAGAAAATTTGCACATGATTTTATGAGCTAAAGTTTAATAAACCTAAAGAAGAATTATAATGAGTGGATGTGCAGCATTATACGAAGGAAGACATATTCGTAGAGCAAGGAAAGGAAGATTGGATTAAATGCATTCATTATGAAGAATAGGCTTATTATTAATTTTTATATGCATAAATGAAGAAATATTAATATAGGTCTTTTACAATTACAAGTATTTCATATTGTAATATTTCATATTTAGAAATAAAATTTTAACATATATATTGTCTAATTAAGTTTATTAAGTATCATAAATTTATAAATGATGAATGATTAAATTATTGAAATAATCATTTTAACATATAGATATTGAAGAAAATTATTAAATACATAGCGGTTAATTTTATATTAAAACAAGAATGTTTAACAAAAAGATAATTATAATATTAATTTATAAAATATTATTATCAAATAGATGATGATAAATTTAGATGTAAATACTAATTAAATTTTTGTATATCTAAAAAATTAAGAAATATTAACATAGGTCTTTTACAAGTATTTCATATTTAAAATTAAATTCTTAAATAACTTATTATGACCACCATTTAAATTATCTACAATTTTAGATTATATAGTATATACGCATAATTTTAATTAATGATATCGATTTTGAAAATTATTTATCTTTGCGGATGAGAATTAGAGTCATTTGAGTTTAAAGTTAAAATCGAGGTCTAAAGTTTTAAAACTGTAGTGTTATGGATAATAAATCAAGGCACTGTTCATAAAGTAGATAAGATTATTTTCTATTTTGTATATTTTTCACTTTCAGGTAGGATCAGGGTTTGATTTAAAAGTATAATAAAATTTGTAGTAGTTCAGGCAATATTTTAGAAAACTTGGCAGAGCTTTATTTGAATCAATTCAAAATTAAATATTTTATAGTTAATATATATTTTACTAGGGGAAATATCTAGAAATTTCAAGGCTATAATTTTGGGTTTAAAGTTAGGGTTTCGCGAAGAGCTAAGGCTACTAACATTCTATTATTTAATGACTGTTTTTAATATTTTGGTTGTACTTAGGGTTCCTTTTCAAAAAATGGTTTAATAAATAAATAAAAAGGATTGAGTTATTATAATTTTTGAAATTATTTTAATCAATAACCATATTATAAGCTACAAAGTTTATGATATTCTTGTATCTTAGATACAAATAGTCGCGTTACTGCCCAACCCTACCAGAATGAGCTGGTTTATTAGAAATAGAAGTTGAGGTTAACGCTAAGGAAATTAAAGCACATCAAAACGGATTGTAAAATATGTGTATTTTTGGAAGGAAAAATATTTTTGATGAATGTCTGATACAATAGTTTGTTAATTAAGAAGAGCACAACAAACAAATCAGGGTACCCTAAAACATGGCCTATAACTAACTGGAAGAAATGATATTTTATATTAAATGTTAAAAAAATTATATATAAAAAAATAAAATATTAATTCTTATCAATAATTATTTGTCATCGTAATATCATTAATATTTGAACAAAACAAACAATAAATTTCGATATGTTTAAGGGAGGGCTATTATAGTAAAAAATTCCTTTAAATTGTAATTCCCGAAATTAGTTATCCAAGAATTCAGATGTCCAATTGACTTCGAATAAACTTGAATGAATACTTATGCTTTCGTGTCCAAGAATGGGTTCTTGGAAATCGTTATTAAAGTTCAAATCATAGCTTTGCTCGTCCCATTCTAAATCGTTTCCTTGACAGGTGACACTATTAATTTCAGAAGTTGATACAGCGTTTTGAACACTTCTAACAACTTCTTCAGAATTAGAGATTCTATCAAGAGTTGATATTGAGAGGATAGGTGGAATGTCAATGGGAACATTATAGATATCATTACAATTAATAAGGTTAGGATCACTATTAAGCTCTTCCAATATAGGGATATTTCTTTCAATAATGATATTATTTAAAAAATATTAAAAAGTAGACGTAGAGATTCAATCAGTTATACATTAAAACTGTTCATTCAATTTCTAAATTTCTTATCATATAATCTAATTAACTTCCCAATATTATCTGACAGGGGGAATAGGGGGACCCAGAACACCAAACCCTTTGACCTCCCTCAAACGAAAATTTATTTTTTTAAAAGTTTTAAATTGACTTCTGTTTAAAAAAAGGTATGAATATTGCATAAATGTTGCTTACAATACCAAATTCAGTTATTTATTACGATTTTACTATGACATTGGGTTTACATAATAAGATCTAATTCTTATTCTAACTGCTTATTCGCAATTTCTATTATAAGAATGACGAATCTAATTATTTAGCCCATCAGAAAATAAATGATAAAAAGAATGTGATCGAAATATAAAATTAAAAAAGGTATATTCTTTCCTCAAGTGCTCCAATTAATGATTATTAGTGATGGACATGCTCTTTGAGTCCAAATGGTAAAATTTTTTTTAAAGAAATGCTCTTATACATACAGAGGTACCATTTGCACGACTTGGCCTGGATATTTTGAAAAAAATATTTTTGGGCCCGGCCGGGATTTTTTAAAAAATTTTTTTTGGCCCGGCTCGGAATTTTTTAAACTTATATTCGACCAGGTATATACAAAAAATCCACCTATTCGGTATTTTATCATATTTTTCGGCGATATTATTATTTAATAAGCAAGCATATTAGCTAATGTTGTTAAACGGCTCTTTTTGAGCCGATTCTTAACGGCTAACTCAATATTTTCGCCAGAAAAATATTGACTAAGCCTAATTTCGATACCATATGTCAAGACCTTTGCTCCTTCCATGGACAAAATTTAGGCTTAAGTAATATTTTTCTGGATAAGATACTGTGTTAGCCGTTTTTAAAAATCGGCTCAAAACGAGCCGTATAACAACACTATTTCCATATTTTATTTTTTTATATTCTAAACAGATATTTAGTATTATTTTTTTTAAAAAATATTAGGGCCCGGCCCGGGTATTTTTTTTTAAAATTTTTCAGGCCTTTCCGGGTATTTTTTAAAAAAAAATTTCAGGCGCCGGGCTTAGGGGCGGGCCTGCAGGTCTCTGCTCTAATGAATGGATAAGAAATAGATTGCATATTATATTATTTTTTTTTCATAATATATGGTAAAGTATAATACTTAATTTTTCTTGATTCAAAGATGGGCTTATCTTGTTCGTACTTTTCCTTAAAAATAACATTATATCAAAAATTTTTATTGACTTTATTGATATATTTTTTTAAAAATTACCTCGTCAATTTTCCCTAGTAAAAATTCAGAATATTGAGATTTGATCAGAATGGAATCTCTGCAACTTCCTTCCGGGGTTTCTTAAAATATGTATATTTATATAATATTGAACTATATTCTTTTTAAAGGTCGGTTCCGTTCTACCCCGAACTGGGCTGATTCTAATTTTGATTCATTTAAAATGAGGCTGTAAAATTCAAGTAAATTTCTTATCTATTGGAGTTCTGTTTTATTGCGGTTTGTTGATAAATATCCTAACGATTTAATTTAATCTGTATTTATATATATAAGGAGTATTGCACGAAATTTGATCCAAAATTCTATTCCTAAATCATATTTCTTAAAAGAAATTGCTGCTTAGCTGTATATAATAAAAATTAAACGATTTATTTTTATAGTAAACAAAACGACTTTTTTGAAAAATGTAGGATTGTGATGTTCCCATATTGTCATAAAATGCATTCATCCTTAACTCCTGATTTTCGTTAATTTTCTTAGAGTTGTTATCCCGAAGATTGTAGTTTAAGAGGCAATGGTAAGATACCGGAAAATCCTTAAAATAAAAAAAATTATTATACCACTTGTTTAACATGATTCTTGCTAACTTTTATATAAATATTATAATTTAATTTTTTTAAGAGAATTAAATTAATTCGGTGTCGAAAATAATGTGCACGAAGAGATCTGAACCGTTCGAATCATATTGTTGATTCGGTTCAGGTCTGGTTCATCTTGCTTTAAAACATATCAACAAAGCTACTAACGTCTTTTATTATTAGTGCAAAAACAAATATAGTTTATCGTACAATTAGAATATTTTCAAAATTGTCTAAAATTATATCTTTAGGGGAAATAATTTTTTAATGGTTGAGAACACTTCTTATACTCTAATTAGAATAGTTGGCACCATCAAATAGCTAAATTCATATAGAAAATGACGGCTGATACTGCAATTAAAATTGATTGATAAGGCATGTTATATAGATCTTCGTGATAATATTATTTTCCCATTTCTTGGGATAAATGTTGAACATATTTATTATCATGTGTTAATTTTTCTATTATTTATATAGTTTATCACTTGCTTAAAGAGCAGAAGCTTGGAGCGAAATTTAAAGAGATTTAAAACTATAACTACGCAAACCCAAATCTCTATCATTATTAGCAAGATATCGATCCATATGACAATTTTTTTTGATGTTATAATTGCAATTTTGGGAGGAGAATTATGTTCCTTGTCAAAATTTTTTGGAAAGTGATCGTATTCGAGTAACTTAGGCATGGCTATGCAGTTATCTTTTTATTTGAAAATTGAAAAAAAAAAATTAAAAATATAATCATCAGAGAATTATCGAGGTTAAATTTTAGGCCAAATTTGAAGAGAACCATTCTCAAGTTCAGCCTAATCTGAATTTTTTAATTTTGATAATTTTACGAGCTGGGAGTTTTCGAAACTCTGTTATTTTAAATATTGCCAGCTCTTTGTAATTTTATACAGGGGAATTGGAAATTTGAGCAATAAGGGTACATCCAAAGTCAAAATAATTTTCAATAAAAAATAAATGATTCTTGCATTTATACATTATGCGTCCAAACTCAATTTAATAAATTTCAATTATAAGTAAATTTTTGAAAAATTTGACTTAGGATGCACCAAAGAATATTTAACATTAATTTCAATTGATTAATTATAATTTATAAAAAAAAATATATGAAAAAACTAATATAAATTATATTTGGTTCAAAAGTTCATGGCAAAATTATCTGAAAATTATAAGGTAGGTATTCCAAACATGGTGGAATACATTTCCGGTAAAATCAGATTTTTAAATTTAAAAAACGCACTCAAAAAATGATTTACTGAAAAAATAACACATTGCCAAAAACACATTGACGCTAACATATATGTAAGCGTAGGGGTGGGATCAATATCAATAAATTCCTGTTTTACAATAACAATACCAATATAAACCAATATAAAATCAAAGATTGGTATTAGTTTTAAAACAATGGAATTTACACAATAATATCGAGAATTTTTAGAAACATAAAATTATGCTATGGACATGGCCTCATATGCAAACACTTCATCATTTTTAACTATTATTCCTCATATTTTAGCATTTAGAACACGTTAAGAGTTATAACCTAATGCTATTTTACAACTCTTTAGCTGCTTTTGCTTATATATATTTTAATTCAATATATATATTTATATAATATTGACGATGAAGATTGGCGCCTTTATGTATCAAGACACTTATTAATAATGCTTTAGACACCTTCATTAGATACCTAACTGAAGAATATAATATGTATATAATAAATAATAATTTCAATTTAGATGAATAAACCACAAAATAAATCCACTAAAGTAACTTTTTGATTAAATTTATCAGGTTGAAGAAAGTTATAGACATAATTATTTCATAATTATTTCATAATTATTTCATAATTATTTCTTAGAAATAAACAATTATCTTGACTAGGCAACCGCTGGAATACAAATTCCACTAAACTAGTGAAAATTACATCATATATTTAACATTATTAAAACTACTAAGATTATCTGGCAGTTCCAGCCTCCTCAACTAGCTCTGAAAGGGGTTTTCGAAAGGGCGTTATGTTATTATAGACCAAAGTTGTTCATCAGATGAACATACTATCCAAACTTCCCTATGCCTAAAAAGATGGTGCATGCTCTTAAATTCTTATAATTCTTCTTCACTCACCATATTTTTATAGTTGTTTCATCTTGCTATATTTTTGTGTCAAATAAAATGTTTCAAAATCAATGTGTTAATTTTTTTTTAATTGATTGGTTTGATATAGTTTGTTCATACAAAATATTTATAACTATATCTAAATTTTTACACCTTTTATCATTTTTTTCAGGGCTAAGCATCCTCGTTTAAAAAAATGGATTTCAATTCCATAAAATCTCGAAGGTTGGTTCTCAGCCTCTTTTATTTTAAAGGAGTAAAGCTTCAAGATTTTCTTTCTATGCTTGTTCAAAAATCAATTGAGGTTTTTTAAAATCACTCTTTTTATTCTTTTAATTTTAATAATATTTGAATTTAATACCAATATAAATCAATACAATAACCATAACAAGAATGGAAAATTATTTAAACCAATACTAATATTCAAACCAATACTAATACAATATTTTAAATCTTGATTTTTAACAGCGTCATTAACCTTTACAATATCAGGGGGCTCAAAAAAAAATTTAAATTATTTTCAAATTTACTTATTTTAGTTAAATTTTTTTTAGTGGTATAAAAAAAATTTCAAAATTTTGCGGGAACTCGAGCCTCCCCCCCCCCCCCCGCTTAGTCACACTGCTGGTTTTTAATATTAGTTCACAGAATATACTTTATTTAAATCTGGATATGAGATATATTGTCATAAAATAGCAAGTGGGCAGAGGAGACGGTGGAGAAGGGGGGGGGTGATAGCAAAGGATAGCCATATATTCAGATTTGTGAATTTTTTTTAAAATTTTCTTCACATTTAAATACATCGTAAAAATAAGAATAAATGAAGCCTAGATACTATTAGAATTGTTATATAAAATCCAATGACCTGTAAAATGAAATCTCTTATCCTGAGGCAAATTTGAAAAATTATTTCCATTTTCAAGCTAGGGTAGGACAAAAAAATTAGGCCTGGCCAATTTTGGTTAACGATTAATTTTATAATATGTATAAGGATCTTCTCTAATTTTTATTTAAATATGTTTTTAAAGAAAGAGCGGAAAGAAGAATATAGTTGCTTTAAGATTATAAAAAAATACTATTTTTGATATATCTTCTATTAACTTTTAATTTAGGAATGCATTTATGGTAGGGGTTTAGCAAATCGAGGACTATACTTTATTCGCACAATTTTTAGTAAATATCAAAACATAAATAGTATATGGCAGGAATTCTTGATGGATGTTTAGAATCTCCATAATGCATGAAGTATATACCTTGAGAATTTTAGACAATTTTGCCGTTAATATTAGTTATAATTTATTAAAATTTTTATGAAAATTCTCTATACAAAACTAAAATATTCAAATATTCACTTCAAAATTTTCTGAAATTTACAGTGTAGGTTTACTATGCATGTTAGAATACGAATCCCGTAAAACCAGGCTCCTCAAAATTAAAAACGCATGTTATAAATGTAAGCTTTTAAAATTTGCTAAAAACCAAGATTTTCTAAAATCCTTCTACATTATAATATCAAATAATTAAATCTGTTTCACGATCACATTTTCAATTCATTACAATATTTTTATGCAGAGCAAAAAAAAATCATTCATAACACAATAAGTCAAAGTTAATAGCGTTGTCAGGAACCGAATGGGTAGCGGACAAACCTACAGTGCCCATTAATCTAAGATCAAATTAGACAAGTTCGTAAATGTCATAAAATACATTAAAAAAATTATTATAATATATAATATATCTAACCATAAATCAAAAAAAGATTAAAAAGAATATTGGATTTTAAATTATTTTTGTCATTATTCCTTAGGCATCATTGATTTTTATTATCCCCACCCCCTTTTTTTATTTCATTTTATTTGCCTGGTAGACTAATTGTCCATAAAAATTAATGGGCTGTTAAATCCATAACTATATATATACACACACAATAATAATATAGCAACAAAATGTATCTAGTTTTAAAAAAATGGTCGTATTTTCTTATTTTTAAAAAAATTATATTTTTTACGTGAGAATGGCTTATTTTTTGTGTATTATATTTTTTTAGTTTATATATGTGAATTAGCCAATAATTTAACTATACAACTACATTACATAAGTAATTAGTTACTTTTCAAATTACTTCATGTTAATTAATATATGTATCACTTATAGAATCCTTTCCCTAATGAAATTATTTGATAAAAATAAAGCCTCACTTCTCACTTACATAAAGCGCTCCTGTAGAACATTTGTTTAGTTTAGGGAAGCTTATTCCTGGATAAAAACTAGTTTTAGAACAAATTTTAAAAATTTATTAAACTCAAATTTTTACGAATATTATATTGTGTTATTAATCTTTCGTTGCAAATATATATCATATTGAATACATATAATTATTTGGTATATTTTTTTCAATGCACATATATCTATAATTAAATCATTTTAGTTTAAATTCCTTCGATTAAAATTTGTAAAAATTTTGCATAATAAAAAAATTATATTAAAAATGATGGATTCCATAAATATTTTTAAATAACTTGTAATGTAATCAATTACTTTTAAAATTTAACTTTAATTAGTTAATTGTTGGTTTTAAAATAATATAACAAGTAACCATAAATAGTTACATTTTTAAATATAACTAATAAGTACATCTAGTTACTTTTCAAAAGTACTATTGCTCAGTTTATAGGCGCGTGTCTTAGAAAATTTGTTAAGCATTGAGGTACTAGTCAGCTTATTTCTTCTTTCTAGAATTGGAGGCATATTTTAAAAAAAAACCCGAAACTGAGGTGATGGTTAAGCTAAAAAGTAGGTTTTGCAGTTTTATAGCTGTGGACCCTATAGTTTTTATTAAAGAATGGACCTCTAAGTCCGATTCGAAAGATAAAATACAGTCTGGGATGATTTTAAAGTTTTTATTAGTGGGGAAGGCTTGGCATGGATCATAAAGATTTACACAGGCTGCAGTGGATCGGTTCAAGAATATTTCTTGTTAAAATTATATTTTTTTTCTAAATGCTGATAAAAATCAAACTAAAATTTTAAACATAAGAGTTTTCTTTTTCAAGACTCTACATTTTTTTTGTAATCAGAGTAGGGTCTTTAATAAAAAATACTTAGATATTGCTGGGCTTGATAGACCCGATTCGATATAAGGATATAGACTAACATGAAAAAATATATATAGACAATAAAATGATATTGCATATCTGACCTTCATTCGCTATAAGGTTAAATTATTCTGGATAACATTTTAACATTACGCATACATTATAATATGGGGAGCTCACAGCATAATGAACTTTTTATCGAGCAGAGATGTAAATATTAATCACTATTTTACTATTTCTTATCGAATCCGATTTAACTCTATCCAGAATTCAATATTGTAAATATTTAGTTCTTTGTCTCTAATCGGGATCGTACTATATCTCGTATTACCTTATACTGTAATTTAAAATAGTTATTAAAATTTATTAAGGGTGAGGTATCAATTTACAAGAGATTTGACTAGACTGCCAGGCTTAGTTGTTAAAGAGTCTGCCGACTAAACAAACATGTTAAAAAATTATATTTTAAGCCCCCCCCCCTCCAGTGAAGATATTTTTCCCCCTCCCTCTATCCCTCCTTTCCACTCATCCTTTAAACAAAAATAAGAAGAAAAAAATAATAGGAAATTTATAATCAAAATTACCAAAGAAAGTAGGAACTGCAAATCAAGATTAGCCAAAAAAAAAAATAGGAAATACAAATAAAAATTAGCAAAAATAAACCAATTACCTCCTGTTATCCACTTTTATTCTAAAGACGATAGCATCTTATACTCATTACCTCTCTTGAACTTAAAATATAATCTTCCGTAACCCCCCCCCCCCCCCCTCCCTCCCCAATTTCCTCAAAAGTGAATGAATGTAGGCCCCTAATAATATTATTATTTTTTAAAATTTAATAATATAATTAGATAGTATTTGAGATTTGTAAGAACCTATTTTCGTTTAATTCCCCTTAGGTAGAATTATAGTAAGCCCGAGGCGATAAAATACCGATTAACAGCTAATTGATCCTTTAAAATATTTTAATTGGATTTGTTTCCCTTCATTGATTTTTAAGATATCTAACTAAACTCTCTTAAGAACCGATTACCTTAAAAAAAGAAGATTCAATTTAATTTAGATCAGTTATAAACATACCTTCCCCCCTCCCAACCAGTTCAAATGGTTGGATATTTTCAGTCCTGTCCAAAGGGTGTTTGACCTAGCCTAATTTTTTTAAGCCTTACCCATATAATTATTATTCTTTGCACTATTCAGGCTCAAAAATTTAAAATCCTTCCGGAAAAATATTTACATGAGTTGGCCTGCCGGGTTCAAATTCTATTAGATCGGCCCGGGGCTTTTGTATTTCGGGCCGGGTCATGCAAATTTCTGATGTAGATGTCATCTCTTAAATCGAACGATTTTCTTATTTCCAGTACTAAATTGCTAACTTTTACCTTTTGTATTTTTTGTCGACTTATTTATAATTTAATTTCGAAAAAATGTTTGACTAAAATTGTGTTCAAAAAATGTAAAATATATGAATATATATATTGTAAACTGTATTTTTACCATATGTTTTCGCTTCATATACGTAAACACTGCTAATATTAAATTTCTCTCTCACGGTATATCTTGCGGCATTAAAAATGCTACTATAATAATGCCTCATGAAGGGATAATATTTTCTAAACGTTTTATTGCGAAAGTTGTAGGTTAAATTTGGATTTAGTAATCGAATAGAAGTATTCGAGATACTATCATTGATCATATCTGATTTCTCTCCAAAATTCGATGACGTAACAGATGGAAATGAGTCAGATGGTTTGCATTGTGTAGAAATGTGTTCAACATCGATAAATATTCTATCTGGTGTGAGTAGATTAATATATTATATCAATTATAATATAATATTTTTTTTAAAAATATAAAATATATAAAAATCAATAATATGAGCGACTTAATCGACAAAAACATCTCTATCTTGCTCAAATAAGACAATTTTGGGTACGATGCTATCATTTTTTTTTCAAAAAAGGATAGGGAATTAAGAGTTGTGGCCCCCAAAAGGTAAACACTACTGACCATTTTTAATTAGAAGTGTGTTTATTTTTTGTTAGTGTAATATAATTTAAAAGCTGAAGACAGAAATTATAAGCTTTGACTCTAAATTAACTGGAAAGCTTTTCGGATTTTAATAAAAGCTTGTCATTTGGCCTAACAATTTGCTAATTCACATTAATGACCATAGCCTTTTTTTAGCTGCCGTCTTCAAAGCAGCATGAACCGTTGCAACATTTTTTTCCATTATGAATAGATTAAATTATTAGTTTTTATAAATGCTAATTAATTTTTTAAAAGAAACGCCTATTAAGTAAAAATAAAATATACATTAGTAATACTATATTTTATTCTTTACTGGAAAAATTAATTATAAATTCAAATTCAATTTTATATTTTATAAAATTTATTTTATTTAAATTTGTGGCTCATACAGATAATCTTCCTTGATTTCAATGTCGATCCAGATATAAATAAACCCATTTTAATAGGTGTGCTAGTTGCTGAAATAATTTTTTATATGCAGCATGGAAAGATGAGGAATTTCGATGATCCTCTTCTATATTCAAACACTTACAACATGTCATGGGATGGCGTTTTCCGATAAGAATATGGCATTCTTGTTTCAATTCATGAAAAATAGATCCTATGCAAGGGGTTGGTTTCGAGAACTCAATTTTTTTTAAAACAATTTAATAAAATTATAATTGTAAAAATAAAGATAGTCCAAAACAATCACTTTCATTAAAATATTTTTTTTTGTTAGTTCAAAAAAATCCCAAAAAATCAATGTCATTAAAATTTAATTTTTAGGTTAAGTTTTAGCATTTTTGTCTTCCGGCTTATGCTGAATAGGGTGTTTTTGTCTTTTATAAGATATTAGGCAAACCCTTATATAAAATACTTTTTATTTTAAAAAATTTAAAAATTTTTAAAAATGTTTTAAATCCTATAATGTATTATAAAACGAATATGATAACATTGTAGGCCGCCCTAAGGTTCTTAACATAAATGTAGTTTCAAAACTTTTCCTCGCATTTTAATGAATTTTTAATGGATATTAAAGTAAAAAATATAGCCTTCCCCCCAGTATTAATAACACAGTAATTTTCACTCTGTTGGAAAAAAATAGGATTATAAAATGAAAGTTAGGTATAAAACCAACACTAGCTATAATCTCATGCATCCGGCTTTCCTCTTAATATAAATAAAAAAACAATTTTTCTAATTTTGCGCTTACCCTGCTCATCATGTCGATTTTCTGTCAATGGGAAAATAGGTATGCATTTTCGATCCATCTCAATATGTATCCCTTGAATACTGGTCACTAGATACGAAAAACATATATGATGGCTTTCTAAATTATGAGTTATATTCCTTATCCTAGATAATATGTCACTGCAGTTAAGGTTCAAAGTTTGAATGTTCTTCTTGTGAATCGAACGTTGATATATTAAATTAATAGACCCTTTAAGCCTTTGGTTCATTAAATAACCTCTGACTAAAGCAGTCCTTTCCTTGTAACAAGAAGGAATAGAGTAATAAATGGCAAATATATCTCCAGGACATGGAAAAAATGATGCTTCCGATTGTAGGAACATAAATAAATTTCGCGAGTTTTTAGTCTCATACGAAAATAATGACTCAATAGATATTGGGGATTTTACAATTACCACGGGACTAAAACTAGCAAAATACTCGTATAAGTAATTATTATCATACAGCAGTAGCGAGTGATTGATAGGATCTTCATTACTATTACTGACCTCGAAATATCTATTTTTTGAAATGATAGACGAATAATCTAAAGTTTTATTATTACCAACCCTGACACCTCTTAATAAAACCCTATATATCCCGGGACGATCAAAAGTTTGACAAGGTATTTTGTAAAGGAGTCCATGGAGGTCATGCCAATGCCTGGAAATGAAGTACCCTTTTAAGATCTCGAACACACCGTACTTCGGGTTCCTTTCAACTTTACCGATAAATTTTGATTTAGCGAGATCGATATATTCAGTGTATGGAACGGTTCTTACTCTGACTACTTCTAAAACAATTTTAATGGCTTCTAGAACGTTATCAGTTTTAAGATCGTCATTATGAATAAGGCATAGTTTGAGGTTATCATGGATTTTTATTTTGACATTTAAATCTGTGTCGGGATAAGATGATATTGGGTTCAAAAATTGGGGGTTGATGTGTAATGTGATTTTAGGAAGTGTAACATTAATGCAAGGAGGAAGATGAAAATAACGGCCCGTGAATCGGTTGCATAATAAATCACGCGTTTGCCCAAGATTTGGCGATTTGGATACTTCTATATGATACATACCTAGGGATGTAAAATAAAAGCATTTTAATGAAATTTTAATTTTAAAAGTTAATAACTAAATTTTTTAAAACAATTATAAAATATGAGCCAAAACTAAATAATTGTGCTAACAAAAAATTTATGATAGAATATTGGTAGTTTATCAAAAGATGATTGTAATAATAATTGAAATAAAACATAGGTACAATTTATTTTCCATTATTTTTTTATAAAATTGTTTTTTCCTGACAAAAAAACTCCCTTTTTCTATCCCCATTTAGACATAATTTAAATAATATATAGTAAAAAAAACACAATATTCTAGACGGACGTTTGACTTTCTTTAGGTATATACTATGTCACTAATTGCTATTCAATTTAAAATAAAAGTAGTATGATTTATAATATTTGTTTCCTCAACAATGATGCTTAACAAAGAAATGATATGTTAAATACCTGGCTCCTTTATAACCTGACAAGGAATACTCAAAAACCCTTCCAATTTTAGTGATTCATGTGTGCCATAACCCTCCAGATGGAATCTATTATCAAAATATTTGAGTTTCAAGTGCTTCACGTGTACGGGATTTATCTCCAAATAATTTTTATTTCTCAGTAACGCGATATACAATGAATCCGAGCCATTTTTATCGCCTTCAGAGGGCACTTCTATATTGGTATTCGAATGAGGGATGTCTTTCGTTGCCAAGACGCGATACTTAACAATAAAATTGCGTGTGAAAATTCTGTGATACCGCGGATACACTATTGTCACAGTTATGCCATTAAAGTCTAACATCCTACGTATTTCATTCATTGATGTTTCTGATACAACAGGCAATTCGAACGTATTTACTGGTCCCACGTTACCAAGTTTAAAAATAGTGGTTATTTCAATGACAAAGATCCAGAATATTCTCATTTTTTTAAATTAAAAGTAAATATATTTCTTTATTTTTGAAAATCGATAGAGGTAAATAATTTCTCTCTTTTCGGATAAAATAATATCTCTTAGGTGAGTAAAATGTAATACAATTTTTACTATTATTATATTATTATTATTTAAAGCAAAACTAAATGAATGTCTAATTATTGATTTTTGGTTTTTTTAAAAAGGAGTTTATTGCAAAAGAATGTAAATACTTTTAACGAATGATAAATTTATAAAAATGTAATTTTTATAATTATATCTATATAAAAATTAATTAATATAAAATTAACGAACAAAAATAATAAAGATAGTTGGCCGATTTTTGGTTTCTGACAATAATTTTAAAAATCAGCATCAAATATTCTAAAGAATTCAAAATAAGAGGTGTTAATAACGAATCTGAATAAAAGGTTCCCATGTTTAACCTAAAAGATCGGCATTCAATGCGGGAAAAATAACCGGTAAGGAATAAATAATCCCACATAAACAGCCTCACACTTTGCTAGGATCCTATATTATTAAGAAGTGATAGATTTTTGCGATTCTTAATACTTTTAAATTTAATAACATCCCTATGTTTCTGCTATTATAACCCATCTTCAAATTTCCTATGAATACGACAAAATCATTTTTTTTTAAATTTTAAAATTATAGATTTCATAGTACATTATTGGACCTATCTTATTTTTCAATTTCTAAAGATGATGATAAAAATTAATCTCATTTTATAAAAAATAAAAACTTATCGATCTTGTAAAGGTTTTATTTTAACTTTTTATCATTATTTTTGCCCGTATATTCAATTTTCTATCAAAAAAAATATTATATTGTGTTGACATTAATCCATAGGTTATATAAATTTTATATAACAAATATACATTATGTTTTATTTATAGAGTTTTTTATTATTATCGTTTTGGGAAAAGAATGGACATAAGTAAATAAAGTGGGAATAAATAGAGAATGAGGGTGGTGGATAAAATTTTTGGATAATAAATCTTAATTAGGAAGAAGCGTAAATTCCTTATTATTATTTTTTTATATCTTTTAATTTTTTGGCTATTTTTTAAATTTAATTTTATACTTCACTTCTTCGTAAATCTATTTAATTATTTTATTTTGACTTTAGAATTCTAAGTTTTTTGAACAAATAAATAGATATAGGGCATAATTTATGATATAATATACTATTATATTATAGAATTTTAATTGAAAATAAATTTTTTTTACAACTTTATGGAACACCGAGCCTAGGCAAACCACTTTTTTATCGTCCAAATTAGGATATATACTCTGATGAAAACTCAAAAACAAAATTTTGATATTAATAGTGTTTTTTAGGTGGGACTTTGGTACATATAAAATGCTTGGTTCTATGCATTTTTTAAATAATATCATGAAATTTGACAGGAGTAATCCACTAAATAGTCAAGGATAAAATAAAAACTGAAGATTATATTATATAAATAATATATTAGTAGTTCTAAATATACTGGTATACAGTAGATTAGATAAGGGGAGAAGTTTGGAGCTAAAGCCGCCTTCCCAATGACTCCATAATTTATTTTATTTTATAGAGCCAAAATGTGAAATTATAGCGTATAACGATAATCATCGTGGTAAAAAGAATATATTTAGTGGTGTAAAGCGGGGAGGGGGGGGGAAGTAGAGTTCAAGACGCCCCCCCCCCATTGAAAATATGATTAATTACTTTTATATTGATATCTATCTAACATAAATTTACTTTCGATTTTAAAATTATAAAACCCACTCCTGAATTTTCTAATTGCATATAATATTCTCAGAAATTTTTTTTATATTTAAAAAGGTGTTTGAAAATACTTTAAAAATCTATGAATAAATACTTAAAATACTAAGGACAACTTCATAATAATTAAATTTTCTATAAATTTTTTTTTATAAATCATATAAAAAAAAATTAAAAAATGGGGAGCCTCCCAATGACGATATAATTTGTATGGGATTGGCATTTGACTTTAACTATTTTCAATTGTAATACTTAGCATTACTTTACTAAATAATGGCTCAACTTTAGCGCTTGAGGGTAAAAATAATTATAATCGTCGTCAATTCGTTCACAACCAATTTTGGTATTATTTTGTAAAGATGTCTCAAGTCTATTTGATTACTTATTATGCTATCGGGACTAAATTTTGAGAGTATAAAAGCTAAAGCTAGATACATTGTGTTTTTGAAATATAATAAATGTGATTTTTTTCATAATGATCATAGAATTATTTTAATTTTCATAGATTCTTCGTTCTATATCTTGATATAGATTTTATTAATTTTCATACTTTGCTAATTAACCTTAAGTCGGTATTTCTCACTAATTCCAAAATCCCAATCCTCCCTTTAAAATATACTTCTGAGAAGCATATCCACACAATGCCTGAGGTGGCAATATAAATATCTGTACAAAATTTAACATAAATTATGGTTCTATGCCATTTTTCCATACAAAATGGCGGGATTGGTTCTATTCCATTAGCCCTCTTCTCTCTTGCTGCTTCTTCTAAAGATTAAGTAGAATTAAAGTTTAAATACCTACCGGTCATTATCCAGACTTATAAAACGCTATTAACATGCCATTAGCATACATACAATTTTCAGAAAGCTTGAGTTATTTTCCAGGGTTAATGATAGAAACTGCCAAGTCAACTTATAGCATTTTCTAAATAACAACCAATTTGCTATACTGACCAAAATATTAAATATAAGACCCTATTTTTATTTAACATTATATTAATGGAATCACATGGTCGAGTCCTATCTCCTATATATCACCCCTCAAGGAAAAGAAACACTAAGTTGGATTAAGAAAAAACATGATCTATGCTAGAATAACCCAGACATCGAATTGGCAAAGGACCCTTTTGTCGAAATATATATTATAAATAAATTTGGCAGTGCCTATTGAAAAATAAACAAAAAATATATTTGATAGGTACTACCAGAGTTGTTAAACCCTACTTTTAAAAGTGCGCTACCGCTATCGCTATTTGTCAAGAAAAGTAGCCCACTACCGCTATCGCTACTCATAAAAGATAGCGCGTTATTGGTTACTATTTTTTAAAAGTAGCTTTGGCTACTTTTTATAAAAAAAATTTAGAAATAAATTTGTTTTATTTTTTGATTTAATACACAAAAATCAACATTTATAAATATTTAAATATAGTAAAAATTTTATGTAAAAAGATTAAAATTAATGTAATAAAAATATTTATTTATAGTAATATTTATTTTGTTACATTTTAATAATAAAACATTTCTATATTACCAAAGTCTAGAGCAACGATTAGTAATATAAGTTTCGCCTTACTAAATAATCTCAACATACTTGAGGGCGAGGCAGTATTTAATTTTATATACATATTTTTAATATAAGAAAAATTATCAAAAATAATCATTTGATTATTTTTAGATATAAAAAACCCAAGAGGATTTTCTATTGTATCCTTTATTTCCAAAAAATTATCCTAAATACCCTAGAACCCAAAATATTTATGCGCTTGAGATTACACATGCATCAATACGATCCAACAGAAATGCCTCAGCAATTAGTTCGGCAGTAATCATGAAAACTAAGCCAAATAATTGATAATCATATTGATTTTGATTTAAAGCGAGAAATTATGATGGCTATTCATGAATGTGATTGCATTGCTATTCATAGTTGCATGCAGCAATGCAAGTAAGCTGGGCTCACCTTAGTTATCATATAACTTAATTGTCCTTTAAATTTAATTTTTTAAAAATCCATGGTTATTCGGTATATTTTTTAAAAAATATAAAATATTTATTCTATATTATGCTTATTTAAGTCATAGCTCAAGAAAATTAGTTACGAATTTTTATCAAATTTAATTCCTCCGTCCAAACATGCCTAACTAATTTGGTACATAATTGATTTTACTTTCGATAAAATTATATTTTGTTATAATTATACAAGTAGAAGATTTCAAAATAAATATAATTATAATTAAAATTCAGATAACATTTATATCGCCTTTTTTAAATATATTTTTTTTAAAAAAATCGAACCTCATTTTTATCCCCCTATGATTTGAATTACTAATTCACGATGCGGTAAAGTAACTTTGAACTTCCTTACTAAATGTGTTACCTTTTTTAAGGAAAAATAATAAGAAAACATCACTTTAAATTTTTCTTAAAAAATCTGTAAAGATATATTTTATTTTATATAATATATTTTTTAAATTTTAATAAATAATTTAAGCCGAGTTTTTAATTCCGATTAACCACCAAAGTTCTTTATTTTTTCTTGTCTTGTAAATAATTTTTTAGTTAATTCCAAAATTTAATTTAAAAAAACATAATTGTATAACTGCTAATGGCGATACACTCAATTAAATACAATTAAATAATTTCTATATATCTTTTTTATTTTAAAATTAAAAATTCAATTTCAAATAGTAAATAATATAATAAAGTAAAATTATTCAATATATATAAACCCTCTCCTTGTTTTTAATCAAATATTTAATTAAATATAAAATTTTTTTTTTAAAATGACAGAAAACAATTTTTACATTACCAATATTATTAATAATACTAGGTCCTGTTGGAGCAGATTTAATCAGTACTTCTATGTCTGGCACTCCAAGGGACAGAAATGTTGTGGACTAAAGTGAAATCTTAATTTTTTAGTACTTTTTCTGATTTAATTTTATTTATAAATTATTTCTGTTATGAACAAAATTTCCCAAGTTAAAATTAGTATATTTAACATTTAAATTGTTAATAAGAAATATTAAGGATAAATAAACATTTGTTCCAAATAATCAATATAAGAATCTGAAAAAACATTTCAATATAATATTGAATATTTTAAAATAGATAAATATATAACAGATACAAGTACAACTCTGGAAACTATAATTAATTCGCCTAGATTATCTAGACTACAAAATTTTGGTCACGAATGCCCCATATTTTTGGCACTTATA